TTCTTGGGGCGCGTTATACACGCAAATATGAAGGACATATGCATATGCCGCGTGCATAGAGGTCGTACCGAAGCCCCCTAACCGTTTCTTAGCTAAATCGATAACTAACCCCGGAAACTTAGGGATCTATATTGGAATGGAAAAAAAAACGGAGGGTCGGTTTTATTACCCAATAGGGCTGCATATAGTAACGGTCTACTGCGTATGGTGTGGAATTATCAACGGGACAATAATATAGACGATCTAGAGTTGGCGCGGCGTACAGAAAAATAAAAATAATAAAAAAAGTAATAATAATAATAAAAATAAATAATGAGTATGTGTTGCGTGTATAGGGGAGAATGTATTGGGAAAATAAACATTGCAAATACACAAGTCGAATATTATATTCCGAGCGAATAACGTACAATATATCTCTGAAACAAACGTTTTGTGTTATAAATTATAATATTTAAATGAGGAATATTTTTTTGTATATAAATTCTATTTTCGGCAAATTAAATGTTAAGCGTAATATTATTATTTTCTGTATTTAGTTCAATTGTGTTGGTTACGCAAAACATATTACATGTATAGGGTACATATATATATACATATTTCAATGAACCTCATGAAATAACGATTACGACTGAAAAAATTCGTGAATCGAATTATCTTTTTCGTGAAACCACATCCTTTTCATGTTTTTATATTTTCAATTGTTACTAAAATTGTGGCATATGAAGTTTGTCGTTGTATTCTTACTTTCCTATATTATATTATGACACTGTTAAACATTTTAGTGGCCTTGTAAAGTGGTCTAGTGCTATTTTGTTAAATTGAAACAATATACCAATTAAATACTTTTGTTAATTTAATGCAAACGTTTTTAAATCGGAGGAAAACATTATTTAATGCATACTAATCATAAAGTAATTTAAATTTTTTTATCTTATTAACAAAAAAAGTTGGTGTACATGAATCTTTAAGATTTTAGCCTTTAATTAATAATTTTATATTTTTTTTTAGAAGTGTAATTTTCTATTAATTAAGAATTTAATATTAATTTTCAATAACTTTTTAAATATAAACATTTTTGTATGTGCATAGTACTCAATTTTTGCACTTCTTGTGTTTCTTATATTGTTTGGCAGATCTTCAATTATAACGGCAACATTCCATACCATTTATTTACTCGCATAATAATTGTTAACAGACTTATGTGACCTCGACAAGTCAAAATTAACAACCACGCCTTTTGCAAATTATCGTTTGCTACCGGTACTTCAAAATAAATTTCTTATTCAAAACATGTATGTATTATTTGACGTATATATACGAGTACTCATATATATATAATCCAATTTATCAGGTATTTTATCCAGTACTATGGTAAATCTAACGAGTTGTGATAAATTGATTTAAATATTATACGAAATAATGTTTTGAAAACTTAATATTTGTCATTAGTCAAAACATAAATGTCTTGTTGAACTTTATCGTAAATTTTTTTTTTTGTTTTTGTAAATATAGCAAAAATATTATTTTTTTCACTTGTTATTTTTGAGTATAAATATTTTTTCTATGCTATTCAAAAATGTCAGACGTGTTGGAACAATAAGAATCTTAAATTGTATGAAATTTGTTTATTTATCCAATTGTTTCTTCTAATAACCGAATAGAGCGCGAAAATAAATATGCATTATAATGGTTGAAAAAAAATATTCATTAGCTTTTGGCAACGAAACGTACAGACATTTAAAATAATTTATTTGTTCGTTTTTAATTATTGTTATACATCTTATTGTGTGGTATTGGATCCAAGTAAAATTCTAATTGTTGAAGTGTGTTTTAAGTTCTTATACATGTGCCGAGCATACATAATACTGTAATGTTATAGGTATTAGTATGACTTATTGAAAGCGGGAATCTTTATATAAGTATCTTTTGTTTCTGTGATATTGCTTTCTGTAATAATAAAATTGAAGTATATTACTGTATGTAATAATAATGCGTATTTAAGGAATATTCGCTAATATGTTAAGTACTAAATTGTAAAGCAGTGATCGTTTTTTAAAATCGATCTAAAGGTAAGATTTATCCGTCGTTAACCGATATCTGTTTAAATTAATAGTATAATATATACATATTTATATATGTTCGATTGATTTCTCTAAGATCAATAGTCAATAACGAAACAATTTTTTGAGTATGTGTTTAGACTTTCGTTTTCTGTGGCGTGCTATCAATTTAATGTGTGAGGATTTTTTTTGAATGTGTGCCCTCCAAGAAGTTCTTAGATAGTTTTATAAATCTATAGCGGGATAGGAGGGTCATAGATATTTTTATGTTACAATTAATAGGAATGTAACTAATAGATTCGAGATGAAATCTATTTATATGATTATATTTTTGAACAATGGATCGAGATAAATAAAAGAATAATAATGAATGAAGAACATGATATAATCTTGTTTTTTAACGATGAAATTGCAATTAACCATCATGATAGTTTGGCATTAGTCAAAGCTAGATGATTGTATAGCTATTTGTAAAAAAATATATTGTACATTTGAACGACGTCATTGCAGGTATGTACATCGTGTTTATTCATTATGTATTATTTATGTTCCTAAATGATAGTCGATTTTAAATATATAAACGCATTATTTCTAGGCGTTGATAGAAAATAACTTAAAAAGAAGTCACAGAGTATTTTGATTACCATTAAAATGTATCAGTGCTAAAAAAATGTCTAATTTGATAGTGTTATTTAGAATAAATTGATTATATGGGAATCTTTTTTTTTTTGATCTAATATATCAACTGATGGACGTTCAAGGCGTTGTCTTTTCAAATATATTTTAGCCATTTTGATTTTATAACGATAATACACACACACACACTCTTTGATCCATCTCTATAAATTTGCTTGTCAGCGTAAGGTAGTGTATGACTTCAAGCAGAAGTATTAGTTATGTTTTAATTTATATTGCTTGCAAGGGAAAATTATTAATCTAGTTAATAGTTTCCATTTAATTACCATTATTTACCCTATTTTTATATGCACGCACTACCATTCAACTGTCTCCGGATAATTATGTATATCTGTAATATCCATATCCAATAATTATTTATGTTTTAGCGTTATTCATTATATAAGTAGTGATAGAAAGATTTTTATAGTCTAAATAAACATGATTTAATATCGTAGATTACCTATATTTTTCTAGTTTTGGTTCGAATAAAATATACATATATGTTATTTCAGTATTTTAAGATTACACGAAGAGTAAAAATTTCAAATGAAGCATTAACGACAAATATTATTATGGAATAATAACACTCATATAATATACTTAAATATTTCATAATGCATAGTTTTCGATCAATGATATACATCAGGGACGGCCAAACGGTCGATGGCGGACGATTTTAGAGTCGATCATATTAGAATTTATTTTTAGGCTACGTGCACGAAAATTAATTGTGGTGGTTATGAATAAATTGTCGATAAGTTTTATCTGTATATTATATTATTTTTAGTAATTAGGAATTAGTTTATAATACTTTATGTATGTTTATATACATTTTAAGCAAGTATGTTTCATAATATTTATAATTATTTAATAAGAAAAAAAATTTTCCAAGAAAGTCGATCCTCAAAGATAAAGTTTTTAGTTATTAGTAGATCGTGGCCGAAAAAAGTTTGGCCTCTTCTGATATACATGAAGATAAAAGCAATGAATTTGAAATATTTTAGTTTTTCCCATAGTAGAAACAAATTGTTAACGTTTATTTGTCCTTACATTTTCTTTTGACATTTTTGATTGATCTTAGTTGATAAATTCTATACATATTTCTACATACAGGAAAAGCCCCGCCCATATTGCCATATAATTTTTTAGCATACCAACACTAATTATCAAAACATTTAAGATTTTATCTTTGTTAATTGATTTTTTTTTTAACGTACGAAATTCTATACAAATCTGGTTTGTTTAGGTCTAATCATATTACGATGATGTTTACAATTTTGTCGGAGTTTATAAGACTCTGTAAATCACAATTAATAAATTGTACCCTGTTTTTTTATTAAAATATTTTGCATGTACACTTTCAGTAAGATATCACTGTATTTTCTTATATTCGCCCACGTAAGTTTTGTTTTAATTATATTTGTTGAATCAACGTTATTGTTTATAAATTATAAACAAATAATTTTATGTTTAAACATTTTATACTTATTTTCTTAAACCAAAGAAGATATTTGATGAGTCATCATGAAAACTATTTTAAATTTTCTTTCTTCGGGTATCATTTTCATGGCACATTTATTGTTGTTGCTCTATTTTTTCTATGTAAAATAAAATATACAATATCAAGTGCACATAATCTTTTTATTTACCATCTAAGTTCATTGATTCTAAGTTCATATAGAATATTCTGTTAAAATTTTTCTGTTTCTAGTCACTATTAATTAAACTAATTACTATATTGAAAAAAACAATATTTCTTATACTGCTTGTAATAAAAGAAAGTACGCGTATTATGTTAATATAGATATATTATTAAAAATATTTCTGTAATTTTTAAATTGTCGCAAAAGGATTGCAAAATTTAAAATTATTTGAAGTATAAAAATGAAGATAATAATTTTTTTTGTGATAATAAATTACTGTTTGGTATTTGAAACTAATATCTAGATGAATAAGTAATATAATGTTCTTGTTTACTAATGTTATCATTGAAAACGAATAACACTTTCGATTTAAATTCTTTTTAAAACGTACTTATGTAAAATTTTACTCTACTATTTTAATGTGTTCAACAGAATCATGTTTTTTATTTTTTATATTTTTTATTATTTACTCTTATTTACAGGAGTCTTTGAATGTACTTCATGCACAAATACATATAATTATTATATAGATTTTATTATTTTATCTTGTTTTTCAAAATGTATCATTATTATCATACACAGGTATTGAGTTGAATATAATTTATATTTATTTTTACAGATCTATAGTATAATTGAAAGAAGTCAAATAGCCAATTCGACGATACATTTGAGAAGTGTTACAGTTTTTGCTCCACACAACGAAGCGTTTATGAAAACGACTAAACAAGACACTGACGATGATTATTTACCATGCTATCATATAAGTGAGTAATCGTGGTTTTTTATACAATTTAATTTCTATGGTTTAGAACTACAGTAAACATAACATAAAAAATATTAACTGGTACCTAGTAGATTTTGTTTTAATTTTGTATTTGAATTATTTTTCTAAAAGTAATCATGATTAATAAATAAACTTTATAATTTAATATATAATTACTATTAGGTAGATACTAGTATACCTTATAGTAAAACAAAATATTATTTATATAAACTTTAAATTGAAAGCTGATGTACACTTATAATTATTTTATCACAACTTAAAATATTCTAGTAGTCAATTTATTAAAATACATAAACAAGTAGATTTAAGTAGTAATAATTTTGTCTATCTATAGGGTTATAAATTAATTCATTTTTACGAATGCGAGAAGAACATGAGTAAATATAAGAGGGTATAGTGGATGTTATATCAATTGTTAGAAAGAAAATATATTTCATTTTCATATAAATTATAGGCGATGATATACTGAATTTCTGCGAAATATAGTGTACGAGTAGATATATTAAAAAAGTGGAAGTGGTGTTAGGAAGTTATAATGCGTTCATTTATAAGAGTGTCACATGCTATGGGCCCAATAACGATACAGTATACTTGAGTTCAGACCACCTTGACCAACGGTTTGGACTGCGTTTGTCCGTTACAACCGCGGTAGATCAAACAATTTTTCTTTGTTTTTTTTTTTTTTTGTATAATATGTACCGTTGTAAAACCATAGTGTAAGGTATATTACCGATGCACCATGATTAAAAACTAGTAACTACTCGATACTATTGGGTATACGTGTTGCCAATAATAATATCCAGAGGTGACCACAAGCATGACTTACTTATTCATCATCGACGTGTCAAATATTAAGTGATTTAAATTATCTGGAAATATTTGAACGGAATTCGCTTATAGAAATACTTAAAATTTTACTTATTTAATTTAACTATTCATACAAATCTTATATAATATTTATATTATAATAAAAAAATTACGGATTTTTGTGTTTATTAAATAAACATTTTTCCTTTGTACTTTTTACGTATTGACATTTTTAAATGAAATTTTATATTATTGTTATATGTAAAATATACTCTGTGTTTTTGCAAAAATCCGGCTTTTCGATAAGTCCTCTTTTAAATGTTTATATCATTAAATAAAAATAAAAATATTATTCTATTGCCTAGTCATTTTGAACCAGTAAATTCTCTCAGAAGACACTTTGTTTGGTATATGCATATATATTATCTAATGGTTGAAAATGAAAATTTAAAATTCATCTTCCAGTACTGATATGTATGTATCCCAAAGTATTTGTTGTTTTGTTAATATATAATTTATGCACCGTACGTATTTTTAGTTTTTGTAAGACTTATGTTTTATCTGTTAAAGAGAACCTATCGTGTAGCTTTGTTTAAGCATAATAATAGTTATTTTCCATTTTTTTTTCCAAATTCATTCTTTTAACTAAGTACAGCATTTCTTGGGGCATTTTAAATTTCGTAATTTTAATTTGTTGACACTACTAGTAACGCCTATTTGAAATGAATATTGCTTCTACAGAAAATACAATAACATTGTGTATATATGTGCAAAGTAAATAGGTTTGGTATAAGATATAATGATACATCTCACTCATGAATGTCATGAAGATGAAACTTTTTGACCTTCGTTGTTTTATTGAATACAAATTAATTATCACCATTATCGGTTTAAATGTGACGCCAATCATGCGATCAAGTTTACAGTAAAATATATTAATTATACGGAAACTTCGACAAGATAGTTATTCAAATTCATTGTATTCATATATTCAATAGCTTTACAATGGTATTTATTTTATATATTTTATTTAAATAGTGTTTATCAACATCCAATCTACAATTTAATCATCGAGGTACAATTAATGTATTTCCCTGAAAAAATATCAATTTAAAAACAATTAGTCTCTACGGTTACGTAATTCACTTAAATAAATACAAATGAATTAAATGTAATTACATATAGTCACTTAATCATGAGGTTAAATTGTAAAACCAGCAGAAAAAAGAGATGGTTGGAGATAGTATAGGGTGTAAATGGGTAGAGAAAATATAAATAAGGAAAAAGATTTTATAGGTATTGGATAAATAAAGTAAATATAATAAATAGGGAACGACGAACGTTGAGATAATAAAAAAAAAACAATCATAGAGGTGATAAATGACACAGATAGTGACTCACCACTATATGTAAAGTATAAAGAGATGAATCATACAATGACGACACTAAAACAAACTGCGGAAATATATAAATATAATTTATAGATTTTCTACCAAGTTTTTAAGTTTTAGTTGGTTCATTTTATAATATGGACGTGGCAAATAAATTTAGCAAAAATATGGAACAAAGTTTTTGGGTTTTTACCAGAGTTGGTAATGTACACGTTTAAAATGTATAAAATGACCAAAACGTATAATATGTTTCGTTTTTGAAATTCTCTCATAAAAAATTTAAAATATTTTTGACTTGTATTTTAGATACTAAATTACCTTTTTAATTTTTATACTTAGTAAAAATATATTGGTTAGTTAAAAATTATATATCATATTTAAATATGAAAAATTATTTTTATTTGCAATTTTATTTTAGTTTTCTTTCGAATAATACAATTAAATATTGACACTACAGACACAGATTATAATATTTTATTATATTCATATTCTAACAAATATTTTAATGTTGTCAATTCAATAATATAAAATATTTGTACGTAAATTTTATAATACATTTTTCTATTTCCTTTGATACTTCTATTATTTATTATTTAATAATAATTACACTAAAAAAGTAAAAAATTACCCATTTAAAATTTAAACTAAAATATTAACATTAATTAGTTAATACTTAAATTTTTTGTGTATAATATAATAATAAAAAAATATTAAAATTATTATAAATATCATATTATCATCAAAACAACATAATTCTGTCATTCTAATTTTTAAAATGTAACATATGTGAACTTTTTATGTCATTTTTCTTTATGTTAAAAGTTATAAATAATTTTTATTTCAAATAAAACATCATGTTAATAAGCTTTTTTATTTTATATTTATAGCAAACGTACCGATGAAATTAGAACAATTAGGGAAATCTGTTTTCTCCGAACTTGATGGTAATCCGCCCATGTGGATAACAAAGAAAAGTCCGGAGGAAATATACATCAATCAAGCCAAAGTGGTTTATCATTTGGCTAATTATGAGCACAACAATACAATTGGCAAACCACAAGTAAGAATCAAGTACTCTTAATAGTTGAAAGATCGTAACTAATTTTTGTTAAAAATTAGGTGTTGCACGTTATCGATCAAGTGTTACAACCTTTACGATTGAAAAAAAACAGCCCCCAAATGATCTACAATCCAAATGCTTGGGAATTCATGGAAAATGCTGAATTCCTGGACTTGAACGGTTACCACACTAAGTAATTATATAATTACATATTATATTAAATTATAAATGTGATAACATTTTCTTTAGTTCAATCATACATCATATATTAGTGTTATTTGTTATATTTTTCTATGTAGGTACTAAAAATTTATAATTTTATATAATTTATTATATAAATAATTAAAATATTTAATCATAGTTTAATAACAGTTGGCACCATTGTTTTGTATGCCATTGATCATTTTACTTGTCTATAAAAAAAGTTTTTCAATTGTTTTATGTATATAGGTTATAAGTTTTGACAGGATATTAGTACACATCCAAACAAATTGATTCTTTAATAACTACTTATTAGTGTTTTAAGTAATATTTAATTTGATATAACTGAGGATAAAGTCTGTGCAGTGTTAACTTCCAGAAATCGAAATTGCATTTTAAATACTAATACATACGGGCGTCATCTTAAAATTGTCTCCGAGCAGAACTGACTGCTTTGTCTCGTACGTCGTACGACTCATTTCCTTTTGTATTATTTCTTTTAATTACATTTAATCGTCTTCGCTTCAGTCTTCTACACCCACTTCCATAGCATGTTTAATTACCTCATTGAAGGGTCTCCGTATCACCTCGGTCGGGAGCATACCACGCATAATACTAGTACATCCTGTTATTACCGTTAGCAAATCGTTGAATACAGATCATATGCATTCTGTTCTTATTATAATTGAGTAATTTTCGTATTTAACTATTAGGGAAATACTTTATTATTTAAAAATTCTTTTCCAACTCACATAAAATTTGTAAACTTAAGTAAACTAGGAATGGATATGTTATCATTGTTTTGTCATTTCAGCTATGTAGTTCGTTATTGAGATATATTTTATCTACAACAAAACTAACTACATTAACTTTGAAGTTGCATATATGTTCGAGTGTTTTATTAACTTTAATTTTAAGTTAAAAATTCATTAATGAAATCTGTTAAAGAAAAGTATTTTTATGCTTGATACTATGTAATCACTTATAATTTTTCTGCGATTTTACTTTTTTCCAACCAATCTTTCAACTGTATAACAAGTTTTTGTATGTATTTTTGAAAAATTACCCTATGAACTTCATGGAAGTGATTTATTAAGAATGGAAATACATGGAAAATTGTGGGTTCTTCTTTTTGTGTATTTCGTATACCCCAGGAACTAATCAATGATAAATTATTATTTTAAATTTTAAATCAGTATAACTAACCATTGCATTCAAAATTTATTTTCAGTGAGTTCATTGGGTCTCAGATTCATATCAATTAATTTATTGTTTAAATATTTGTTTATAAAAAAAATATACATAAATATATTTTGAAATTCTACAGTAATGAATAGTACTTACCGTTTTTCAAATTTCATCTATTTATATTGAAATTTTTTTTTATCTAAATAACAAATGCTTATAATATTTGACACTCTTATGATTCCAAAGTTGTATTCACGCAAATTACAGATATTTATATTTAATGATTATGTCAAGAGTACGTAAATATTATTCAAATGAACCGCACACTACTCATTTTTTTCGGCTATTATCTACTCTAATAATATAAACATATTTAACTTACTTTATAAATAATTCATGTGTTATTAAATATAATTATTAATAATTAAAATAAACCCTTGAAAATGTTTTATTTAAATCCACTCTTGGTATATAATTTATGAAATTCACGAGTAATATGTAATATTTGGGAATTATTTATATCAAAAACAAAAGCGAAATAACTAACTTTTTTATACGATATATTTATATAAATATATTTTTATAAATACTATCGAATGGCCAATTAATGTCTCGCTATTTTTAGAATCATATATGTAATTTCTTAAAATGTTAGAAAGATAAAAACTCGTTTTATATACATTTTTAATTATAATCTTTTCATTTAAAATATAAATAATTTACTTATATAATGACGAAATATTTTGTCTTTATAGTATTTTCCTTCAACGTGTACAAAGTTTGGAAAAGAAACATGTATTCTCGAATCAAGGTGGTCATACATTTTTCATACCCGTCGATGAAGTTGCCAATGTAAGTATTTTTTTTATAATTTAAATTTAATTTTAGTTTGATGTAATTTCACATATTCATCGTTAGAAATTTAAGCATTCATTTTATACATAAAGATACCACCAGTCGGTGAAATGTTATATTTGTATATGATAAGTGTTTTGAAAATATATACTCGTAATATAATATGAATTTCATTCTGTAGCATATTATGCTGGAGGGTTTCATAAATTAAACTGTATCATTATAATGTAAAAGATGATCACGAACTATCATTTTAAAGGTTATTCGAGTACATTTAAATTATAGCTGTAAAATATTTTAACACTCATCGTGACTGTCTCTTTTAGTTTTATTTGTTTGTATATTCTACATTTCAAAATAAAAAAATAGAGTACCTTTGAATATGCATTTCTACAGTTTTTAATGAAAACATTCATGGAATGTTCGTTGTATACATTTTATATGTATTTAACTTCGGGTTTTTTTTATTGTGATTAAATATAATTTTCATAAATTCAAATAAACATACCATTTGGATAGTAAATGTTGGTATTAGTATTAATGTCTAAAACCATGTAATAATTAGATTTTACAATTTTTAAACATTGTTAGAGTAAGTAAGCTTTATTTTTATGTAAATATGCTACTAAATTACCAATATCATGTTATTCTGCATCACTGAGTATTAATAACGTGATATAAGAATGTTTTATAGATTAAGGTATAATTTATTTTATTTTTTGAGTGATTTTGAAATGGTATTCTTCTAGTATTAAAATTATTTTTACGTCAATTAAAGCTGATATTTTTTTACTGATTTGATTAATGTTTTTTTTACTTGATTTCAGCATCCTAAAGTAAGACCAGAAAAAATCGATGTGAAAGTGATTGACGCCCACATTATACCTGATAATGTATTGTTTTTGGGACCAACCAATGAGGGTGAACAATTTGAAACCTTAGCATTCACTGATATGCTTAAAGTAGTTGCATTTTTTTCAAAGGCCGAAGAAGGAGATAAAACTAAATGTAAGATAGATTATAACATCTAACTTATATTCTATTTGCTAATTGTAAACTCGAAATACGTGTTTATTATCCTATGTCATACGCTTGTTATTTTAATAATTTTAAATCAATAATTATAATTTACTATGGGGTGTTATTATATTAAACTATCACAGTTTAAATAGTTTTAACCGATTTTTTTTTACACATAGATTTCGTAAGCAGTGACACTTTAAACTCTGATGGTACACATCCTACTGGAGCTGTAGTAGCAGAAATCGTAAAAGCCAATATACCTATCAAAAATGGCGTAGTACATTTGATCAGTAGACCATTGATGGTTGTTGACAATAATGTGAAAGAATTCGTTGAGGTTAGTTAATGTTTATTTATAATTATATATCACACTCAAAATTTATTTTGTTTTGTTTCATATTATGCACATCTTCAAATAAAATAACAGTCATACAAGGTTAGTAATCGATAACTTATTTGCATAATTATTTATTAAATTTATTCTTGAGTTTAATTAAATTAATTTCTATTGTATGTAATTATAAAATGACTTGCCTAATGTTAATAATTATTATGTTATTTATCAATTACATAGAAATATCACCTATAGGCTATATTTCTATGCCATTAGCTTAGCTTTTCCTATTATTATTTACATATATAATTAGAAATCTCATTAGTTTTCGCATTTTAAATACAATTTATACCATGTATTTATAATGTTACGTACATATTAATGTATTTTTTTCATGTTAACAGGATAGAGAATATGGTATCTTGCACAGATTCTATGAAGAGATTATGAACACCGATAAAGATTTTCTAGATCAACTCTCTAGCCTCACAAATGTTACACTTTTTGCGCCTTCTAATAATGCATTCAACGAACAATCCATTCAGTCGTATTTGACCAATCGCACCTACATTAAGTCATTATTAAACTTGCACGTCGTCAACGGTAGGTTGTCCATTGAAGATATTGTCTCGGGATCGACAGACAAGGTATGCCGTTTTATAGTTACAGTAGATTAGTTTCGTTTTCCTAAATTGTACACTCTTATTTTACTGTATTATCAGGTATTCGGCCAAAATAGTGAAACAATAATCTCGAATGTAAAAATCACGAATTAATAATGGCGAAAATAAAAACAGCGAATTATAAAAAAGAGCGAAATTATATAATAGCGAAGATATACAATTAGGCATTTAGTGATAATAATTTTTAAAAATAAATGTTAGGAATTTAGTGAAAAACTATATGGTATATCATTTACAAAGTTATTATTATCATTAGTATTATAATTTGTAATAAACAAATTAAGTCTTTTAGCATAGTCCTGGAATTTATTTTTATCTCTGGTTGTTCTTCAAAATTATACTGTTCTCGTTTTAATTCTTATAAATTTCGAATTTTCTCTATTACATAAATAAATTTCCATAAAGTAGGGTGGCTTCCTCCTAAAGAATATTTATTATATTGTTAGAAATACTAATTATTAATAAAATAAGTGATAGTTTTGTTTCTTGAAACTTATCCAAGCACTATATTAATATGTATAGTATTCAAAATAGAATTGACAAAAAACTGTAGTTTCGCTATTATGCATGATCGCTTATTTTAAAATTTGCTGTTTTTATTTTCGCTATTATCAATTCGCGATTTTCATATTCACGTTTAATTATTTCGCTATTTTGGTCTAGAACCGTATTTTCATAGTATTTTCTATTCATTTTTCTTTTTATTTAATAAATTGTATTATAATTTACTGTCGTCTACTATGTGTGTCACATTACACTAATACATTATCTAATATTATGGCATATGTGTTAAAATAATATAATTTGTATATTTTATTCTATTTACCTACTACATATTATTTTATAATTTTCTACTTAGATTGTGGTTTTTGTCGTTCATTGTTTAATTGTATCAACGATATTATAAAATAACATATATATTCTTTAGAGACATTACAACTAAACTGTTAATCTTGAATATCGAGCAGTTCAATGAAAAAATATTAAAGTAATTAATTTAAACAAAGAATTTCTTGAAAACGTATTTTAAAAACTTAATTAAAATTAAAGTTTCTTTTAAATTTAATTCCATTGCAAATTCAATTTTTTTGTAATAACATACTTGATAGATTTTAATCTCTTATGAAATTATAAATAATTTACTGATTAAGGAATGTGGTTTTTAATTTTTAGTAATTTACCATGTTTTAGTTAATTATGAGTATCTCTGAATATTCCATCTAAGTTATTAGTTTTCTATTGTGTATAGGTTATAGCTAATACATTTATTTATTAATATTAATCGAACGGAATTTAAAATTAAAATACTTTCACTCTATATATTCTCTGGTTGAATTTTACATTTGGATTATACTTTTGAATATTATATTTATATTATTTATTATTTATTTATTTAGTATTTAAATAGAATAATTAAAAAAAGAAAAAAAAAATCATATTTATGAAATAGCTCTTAGGTCATCTTAAAGTATTCAATAATTAATACAAAAAAAGATCTCAAGTATAAATAGGTGTTTATATGTATTTAGATTTAATATTTTTTATTAGTATTGACATGCCTTGAATGCTTTTAAACCGTTTTAAATTGATACTTAATAGTAATTACGTTTAATTAATATTATTGTAATAGCATGAGTGTGCACGATTTTCATTTTTGTTTTGTTTGGTTTTTTCCTGTCTACAATGGATCAGCGCTTTCAGGTTGCCACCCTAGTGCCACGCAAGGATTTGTTCTTCAACGTCGTTACCAGTGGTAAAAACCGCACGTTGACCCTGGAGGGTGGTGGCGTAAACGCTACCGTGGTTCAGGCTAATCTGGCTGCTACAAACGGAATCATACACATCATTGACCATGTACTTGGCATTCCATCATCGACTGTCGACCGCAAACTGGCCACTGACCCCACGCTCAAGTGAGTACTGAGATAATAGAGATAATAGAGTGACTGTCTTGTAGAAGACACTGTGTTTTTTAAACTACACTTGCCTGCTAGTTTGGTGAATGCATGGTGAATTACCGTGACTATATATTATATAGTTTTCATTGGGATGACACGTTTTAGTGTTTATATATATAATATCATGTTAAATATTATCTTATTTTCATTGTTTAAACTGACTTCCGTTACGAAAAAAAATATTTTCTTTAATAAACTAATATTCCAAATCGTTTATGTTATACTTCAAGAGTTATAATTATTATTAGTCACTTAATATATTTACAGTATTGCACGCAGTGAAAAAATAAAATATAATGAATTATAAAAAAAATAAACAAATAAATTAAAAAAAAAATGTGATTAATTTATGTTATAAATAATTTACTTTTATATGTTTTTAATATGCAATTACTAGATAATGCACCGTAAATAAAAATTAAATAAATAAAAGTTAAATTTAATATTAAAATATTTTTAATACATTTTTATTAATTTACAGTGACACTAATTACCTTGGCCAAGTGTCTTCACTTAACGACCAACTGAGTGATGTTCAAAAGCGATTCACTTATTTTGTGCCTAGGGATTCTGCATGGAAGAGGCTGTCAATCGATAACCCCTCGGTGTATAAAAAATTGTTTATGCCTGAATACTCTTACCTTGTATGCTAAAATTACTTTTTGAATTAATAATATCTGCAACTTGTTTTAATTTTTATTTGTAATCTTCTTGTTAAGGCCCGTCAAATTTTGGAACGTCATTTGATCGTCGCAGATAAAGCATATACAATGGATGATTTAAGGAAAGAAGCCAACAACAATTACAATTTATCTGTCAAACTTCCTACTGTACGTGATGTGTCCATGTATGTAAAGATTAAGGATTTGCCAGAAGAAGGTATATGTTTAATCGGTTAATAATACATACTAAATCTGATTTTAATCTTTTAATTTATTATTAAATTATATTAAATAATTATGATGGCATCTGTTATATTTTCTTAATCAATATTTTTTCTGTTTATAAAATATATTTATTTTATATTTAATTATTTTACACTAACTAATGTGAATTGGTTTTCATAAACGAATGCATTGTGTATCTTTTAAAGTAAAATGTTTGATAAATAATAACTTTAGTTTCATTGTTGTTTGTTGAGATTTATAGGTATATCAATGACATTAATTTAACACTCATTTATTAAATTAATGGATTGTATTTTTTCCTTTTCGAAGTACAATTTGAAATATATAATGGATTAATAGAGTAGATTAATTCAGAAAATTCACTAGTTTTTTTTTAGGCGCTGCATTTTAATGACTGTTTATTTAAAACTAATATTTTATTATTGTTTAAGGTTACTCAATTGAATGGCGTAACGAATGGATACATGTGCACCGGGCTGATGTTCGTTGTACAAATGGTATTATACACGTGATTGATCAAGTCTTTATTGACGACAATGATATTGAAGTGAATGCTGCTATCGCTACCAAATCAGTAACTGTGATGCTGTTGATTTTGGCTCAATGCCTCGTGTTCTTTTATTTCAACTAGTCAATTCTTCTCAGCAGGTGTGTCTAGTATGTGGATTACCCTAAATGCGTTATACATCGGTTGGTCTTATGTTTCCCACCCAGTGTCTCCACTAAATTAATAGGACCTGCCGATAACGTAAAACATTATTTAATATCCTCATTTATCATATGACACAGTTTGGTTTTTTCCCAAATGAAAATTAGAACCATTTGAATTGTACCCAATTATAAAACGGACAATGTATTTTTATTTCCTTTAACATTTAAGTTTTTATAAAGAATCCCTTCAAGTTTTTTTTTTTTTATTATAAGCTTGTGCCTGATTAGTTTTATATCCCTATATGTATATACATAATGAAAATTTATATATATATATATAATATATATGCATACGTAAGTAACTTAATTTTTTTTTCGCGTTTGGTATTACCTGATTATTCCCTCTATATTTGGTTATTAGTGTAGTCTGTCTACTAAGAGGATACATGTTTGGTTATATTTCAAATGCAAATTTGCTTTTTAAATTGCACATAAATCTGTTTGCGTGAATTCGTAAATTTTACATACTAAAATTATCTAACTAAAAACTTTTTATGCATTCCAATAAATTTCTTTTGCCTTCCTTAAAAATAATTACATTTTATAAATAAATCTCCATAAAAGTTTTTGGAATGGCTATAAGTTGAAGCGGTTTATTAATCAAAAGGAAATGCATAAATAAGTCTGATAATACAAGATATCGATTATTTCACATGTTAAAAAAAATATTTATTATTATTATTATTATTATTATTATTATTATTATTTTTTTAGACCAAAATATTGATTTGTAAATACTGAACATGGTATGATTATAGGACTTAATAGTATTAAAAAAAAATTATATATATATAAATTATGTATGCCTTATGATAGTTCAAAATAAATAATTTGTTATTCGTTAAATATTATTAAAAAAAAAATAAAGTACAGAACTAGAATTAAAAATAATAATACAAACTCCATAGATATATTTTGATCTTATTCTATTAATATATTGTAAGTTATATATTTATACAAGTGTAAATTGTAATCTGAGAAATATTTAATAGGAGAATTAATATCTAATAGAAAATATCTTGTTGAATTTATACAAAAAGTTTATGAAAATATAATAATCTCGTCCTTTCATTTAATAATTTTAAATATACAATAATAATTATAATACATAATGCTATAATATTCAGTAAAAACTGATGATATTAGTATATTGACGCTTGGTGTCTATTTATGTTTTCTACTATATTGTTTTTTAAGTGGAAAATGTAAACCAATTTGTAGTTTTTTTTTTAGATTAATGATTGTTCATATTTATTGACTAAGAAACGAAATTAAAAGTAAAAACAATTAATGGTAATTTTGATATTGTATTAAAAAAAAAAAATTTAAAAAAAACAAAATATAAATGTGACTGCTTCATCTGAGTAAGAATGTAAATGAAAATACATTTTTGGTGAGAAAACAACCAACTTTGTTTATATTTTATTAACAATTTAATAACTGTATATAGTAGATTTATGTGTTAAACAATTTTTTTTTTTTTTTTTGTAATATTATGGTTGGAGTCCCACTGCTATTATTTTTCCGTGTACCATCATTTTTTTTTAAATTTATACCTTATTAAATTATATAAAATAAAAATGTCAATGACCTGCACCAACTAATAATATTTTATTAAAGTGTACATTATGATATAATATGTATTCTTTTTTTTTTTTTGTTGCATTATCTGTTTAACAAGTGTTAAAGTTTTGGCACTTAGGCTTGTGGTCAATGAATGATATATGGTCAGTTATATTATTATGTGTATGCGCTGAATTTATAATATCACATTCTTAAAACATAATACAATTTTTTTTCAAATGCTCGCAATGTTATTATATTATCTACAGCATATATGTGTAATCTAATGTCCTTTTTTGTGAAGTAAATAAACTACCAATATTACAATATTAATTAACAATGTGTAAGTGTTACATCCTGCATTGACATGCTTATTTTTTCTGCCAAATATTATAACTTAATTATGCTTCTGCATAAATAGTTATTAGTACATTTTTAACTATTGTGAAATGTCAGTTACAGTTCCATCCAACTTATCCTACTCTAATATATTCTAACTAGCAATGACATTTTTTTTAAATTTTAATTTCCTAATTTTTGCTATGGATTATTGCTATCAAAATTCAATACATTTTACTTGTACACTTGTTACAATTTTAAATTTACAAAATATTGATTTACTTTTATACAATACACTTTTGATATTTCGAAATTCAAGTAACCATGCTTAACATTTGATTAACAGGGAAGAGAAAAATAAATTTAATTAATAAGATTTGAATATCCATACATATTATAATTTAATTTAGTCTAAATTTATTATACATTTTTTAGAAATATATTAAATTAAAAAAAAAATCGAATTTCCTTAGTTATGTGGGTTACCACAGTCAAACTTAATACAGGTTTTTTTTAACTTGAAACCAATGTACTACAGCTGTTGAAAAATCGGTTCAATGAAAGAGATCCAGTGCATCAGTTAACATTTTTAAGATGATTATTATAATATAAAAATCAATTTTCTTAGTAAGATAGGTTGAACTTTTAATATTTTAACTTTCACAATAAAAATGCTGTCCAAATTATAATGTTCTTCCAACTATCTCGCACTTCATTACTTTTGGTTTATTAATGAAATCGAATTTATGTGTTTTCTTTGAATTATAGAAATTTTCTCAGGAGCCCAACTGAATTCAATTCATAGAGATTTTAAATTATTGAGTTTTATGTTTCTTATTGCATTATATCTCTATATTTATATCTATACCTATATCTAGCTTTACTACGAGTATAGGGATTTTTTCATATGAAAATAATCGACACTAAACATTATTATTGATTATAAATATGATGTTTTTAATAAATTCTCCAAATGCATTTATATTCTAACAAATTATAAATTGTTAGTACTTTTACTTGCAGTTACGTAATTAAATGGGAAGGTTCATTCAAAAGAACAAGGTTTTCCTTCTCATCTGTCATTTTTTTAACCGTCTAAATATATGAACAAATAAAATTAAAAATATATTTTTCAAAAAAACCAATAGTATTTTGCATTTGAAAACATGTATTTTTATGCTTAGAGTATACTTAAGTTAAGACAAATTTAACGAGTTCGTTTAATGAACATGAGATATCCAACCTTTTTTCGACCTATTCTCTGTTTTCATAAATTGTGCCATTGCTCTGTATTTGTAAATATTCCTAATATTTTATGTCAAATATTTTATCTTTTAAAAAAATCCTTTAGCCACTATATTAATTCACACAAAAATAACAAACTGATTAGTTTTAATAATTATGTTAAATATTCAAACATTTACTACGATTCAAATGAATGAAACATGGAGTTAAATATTTTGAGAGCATTTATCTAGAAAACAATTTGATAGTTGTAACATGTCAAAAAAAAATTAATTTATCAGTATTGTTAATCGGGTTTTAACATCATGTGTTGTCTGATTATCGTAATTTATAGCTTGTAGATATCCTATTAGCAATAAAATATACTAGAATGAATCGCAGAAAATATATTTAGTAGACAGATAATATCCATTGGATTTTTGAGTTTATTGTTATAACCATAAAGTCAAATGGAGATAGAAATTGTAATTTGTACAATAATTTTATTATAAAATGAATAAAAACTATTAATAAATATACACAACTTATTTTGTAATTTGGCGACCTCCGACCAAAAAGTCCGGGGCAAGTGCCCCGGTTCACCCCCCCCCCCCTAGATCCGGCCCTGGTAATAGCAATCAAATAAAATTTGAATTCATAGGTTACCTTTTAAGGTATCAAAGAGAAAGCAAATATTTATGTGTTAATATTTATAGTTTATATTATAACTAGTGCTTGAATTGGAAAGGGCGCATAGAGACGGAGCGCCTCTAAAATTTTTTTATTTTTTTACGTATCCCAACTATATTTTTGCACTAAAACGGGGTAATTCTAATCACGCTTAGTACCTTCATAAAAAAATATATTTTCGTAGATAATAAAAGATTATATGGTGGTTATGATAAGTAACGGCATCGTCATTTGAGGAAAAATATAAATAGTAATGTCTGATTATAATCAGACATATAGTTATAATTTGGTATATACTTTATTCATTGTATAGATTGTTATTAATATTATTGATATTAATATTTGAAATTTAAATTTTTGTGTAGCTAAAAAGTAGTATTAAAAATATATATAAAGTTTTTTAGAGGGGAGTGAGGGACGAAGCCCTCCACGGGACTGTGTTAAATGACTGCACACGTGGAACGCACTTTTTAAATCGTTGGACTGAGCTCCTCTAATTAATTTTTGCCAATTCAAGCACTGATTATAACGGTCGCGCAGGTTCAAAAACACAACTATGAAATCAATAAAAAAATAAATATGTATAAATATATTTATAACTCTCTTAGAAATAATAAAATTTAATATAAACTATCAAAGACAATTTTAAGACACTGCGCAGCGTTATTTCGGTAACTTTTTAAAAGAAAAATCATTTTAATAAAACTGTAATTGAATTTTCAACGATATCATAATTCAATTATTATTCCCTCGGAATTAAAATATAATTTAAGTTAAATTTCAAAGTATATTCAAACAAAGTAAAAAATATACCTTCATAAAAATACTCATAATTAAAAATATTAAACGTACAAAACTAAAATTCCCAGAAATCAAAATCTTAATAAAATATTATAGAATAACAAATAAACAGTTCATACATTTTTCAATTAGATTTAAAATTTTGAACGAGGAAAGGAATATATGTATTTTGAAAGTTTTAAAATTAAAATATTATAGTAAAAATACAATCTATCCCCCGTAAAAAATTGAACTATACAAGACTTTATTAGTAAAGCAATTAAGAATTAGCAATTAAGTTTGAAGATTTAAGGTACCGAATCAGTTTAAGTATAATTCATACAAAATTTAACAAAAAAAAATGAATATCTATAATTGTTATTGTTTATATTCCGGGTGAAACAAGGAATATATTGATTTTATCATGATTTGTATATTTTGGCTGTGGACACGATTAAGTGACTTTTTTGAACACAACGGTAGATTGATTTAGAATTTAAAAGATCAATGCAGCAATACCATTCCCTATCTCTATAACTTGTATCTCGCTCATGGAGTCTTACATGACCTAAATTGTACATACATTCTTATTATATTCGTGTATTTAAAATTAAATAAATATTATATTTCAGAATTTAATAAACTTTTCGTAAGAACTATGTTCTAAGATTTAAACCTATACAAATTTCACTACAAATCATTTAACTAAAATTGAATATAATATAATACAATATAATTATAGTAAACAATAATATTACAATAGTATTACAATATAAAACAGTATAATTATGTTTTTTATAATATAATTTTAAGTATAAACATTTAATATTTTATGAATTTTCAAGTACAGAAATGAAGTGAATTTTCTTGATTTTTATCGTTTTGTCAAAATTTCATATTTAAACGCTCATAAAATTGTTTTTGAAAATAATTTCAATTTTTTTTTTTTTTTTTTTTCATTAAGTAGTGATAAATATATTTGAAAAAATGTTTGTTAAATTCTCAAGATAATTTTTTAAACCAAAACGATTTACGATTATTATTTTTCGAGTTACGAAGAATAGTAATATATGTACCTATATTTTATTTTGTCAAATATACCGTACATAAATGTTGCCTTTTTTTATAACTTATTGTCAGTATTTCTCAATTATTAAAAACTGTTGAGAAATTATGTAATCAACCTCTTCAACATACCAACTAGACAACATTTTCTATATAAAATCTTTAATAATTGTGATTATCATTTTGGTTGAAATTGTGTACACAAACACAAAATAAAACACATCATATTTAAGCCAATACATTCCACATTTCACTCAGAATTTAAAATACAACGGTGTAGTAATGGAGAATAGCAGTTACATGATTTAATAATAATGTACTATGTATTATTATTATAACTGGTACATTACAATATTAATAATAACAGCTAACAGAAATCGTGTAAAATAAATAATGATTTTTCCAAATATAATTAAATATAATTTTTGATATAATTTCTTAACAGAATACAATATAACGTACTAAATTACAAATTAATTAGTTATTAATATAATATTTTATATTATAACTATTGTGATAAGTAGGTGGACTGTACTTGGACTCTAAATTGTTTTCAGATGGTGGAGGTGTAGATGAAGGTGATGACAATATTTATGGTGAATTATTATACTTCTCTTCCACATCACTCATTATCTCTAACAACATCGCTGCAGCAGCCTGACCTTCTTCTGCCATAAGTATTTCATCAGCCGTTAAACTGATAGGTTCAACTTCAATTTGCCTCTCTTGTACTATTTCTTCTTCCGTCTAAACAATATCAGTTATAATTAATTTTGGTTCTAATTTTATGGCATCTAAATTGGTTTTAATTGATTCTTCTTGAATCAAATCAAGTATAGGTGTTGAAGGTGGTGGTGATGGTAATGATGGTGATATTGGTGGTGGTGATGTTGGTGTAGTTGGAGATGGCTAATGAAATACTTCTTTTTTAATCAATGGAATACTAATTGGTTCTGATTCAACTGATTCTTATTTTACTGTAATATTATCAAATCCATCCAACTACACAGGAAATTTTACATCTAATTGTGAAGATGAAGATGATTGTGCTGATTGTTTACTAACCTTTGTTCGTTTCACTCGAAACCGATCGCTAGTTGCTGACCTCTTTTTCTCATTTCCGAATGAAACAGCTGGTTTTATCTGTTCTTTCATTAGGTCAAGTCTTATTTGTTCTTTTTCCTTAAAAAAAAAAAAATAAGTAAAAATATTATACCTGTCATAAATATTAAATTGTTTTAAAAAATATACTTGTTCAATTTTCTTCTGTTTTATCTTATAAGATAACAACATTTCTCTATACATATCTTCAGTTGGATCAAAATGATTACTCATAGGCAAAGCAATTTTAGACAAATCTATTCCTTCAGAGAGTAATTTTTTTAATGTATTAAAACGGTTAATACGTTGATTTTTTCTGGAACATCAATTAATAACACTAATTAAGTACATTAACAGAAATTAAAAAATATTTCTTTAAATAATCCATACCTATATTTTTGTTTGAGAGTACGTCTTAACAAAGATTTCATTTTAACAATATCAGGACGATAATATCCATTTTTTAATTTGTCATGAAAATCATCAATTGGATTAACTCCAAATCGAAAACTTTGACCACCAAAAAGCATTCTTAAAGTGATTTCTTTTTCCATTAAATCATTTTCAGGAAAAGTTGGAAGAAAATTCTACAAAAAAAAAAAAAAAATGTTAGTATGTTTTACACTTAATTTCATTTTTTATAAGTTTTATTTGTATAAAGGTGAGTTTCTGTTACACAATTATACCTGTAAATGTTGCTTTTGTTGGTCACTTAAGCATACCCAAGAATTAACAGAAAAAAGTTGCTTGAAAACTTCTTTATCTTCGCACATTCCAATAGGTAAACTAAGCTCAGTTTTATTAGCCACTACAGTTTCAGTTTTGAGTGATATAGTTTCGTCTTCATCTACAGTACTAGTACTTTCAGAATCAGAGCCTGACTGACTCTTACTACTACTGGATGCAGATGTACTCGTGCTAGATGTTGATGTTTCAGAATCGTCGTCACTATCATCCTGTTCAATTTCAGGAGACGACAATTCTTCTTCATCTGTATTTGAAGTTGATTCTTGCGGCCAATTTTCATAATTATTATACCCCGACATTATTGAGTCAAAATATAATTACTGAAATTAGTATAAAAAATATTAAACCAATTACTAGTTTCAAAGTTAATACTAACATAACATTTTCATAAACAATTTATATTTTTAAATAACCTAGGTAACAATCAATTTTTTTAAAAATGTTATAAATAAAATATTGGCTATAAAAAAAAACAGTAGTTCAGAAGACACTTTGAATTTTTTTGTTTAAGTATTAAAATCTGTTTTCAATAAATCACAAACAAAATTCAAGGTCATGGATCCATAAAATAATATTTCTATATAAATTACTTTACATAATTACTTTCCATCGAACATGTTAATTGATTAAAAATTACCAATAGTAAATTATTTAGAAAAATAATGCGGATAAAAGATATAACTAAAATATTAAATAAATTGATTAATAAATAAATGATTGCTAGTTATTAATATTTACTTGGTATCTAATTTATATTATTACACTTTTATGTTCCTATCATATTAACTACCCTCAATAAAATAGTAGTTATTCTATTCATTATTATTTATCTTAATATTTTGGTGTGACCCTTAGTTTAATATATTTTTATATGTATACATTTATAAAGTGTGTCACCAATTTTCATTTAAAAATCATGCTTAATGTCTAATATAATATACATTTGGTTAAAGTTAAATTAAATTCAATTGATAACTTAATTAATTAAGATTAAATTATTGATTTATTAACAACCTAAAATTGTCACTATTAAATTAAGATACATTTTAATATTTTAATTATATAAAAAACAATATCAATATTTGATATTAGCTTATCGTTATTTGTAATATTTACCACACTAGTATATCAATATTTATTGTCTAGATGGTTAAATACATACCTATTATATATTTATATAATATTAAAATTGATTTTATTTCTTGATTCTATATTAATATTAGGAATCAATTAATAACAATGTATTGTCAATCTCCTAAATTATTAACAAAATCTAAATAATACTTACATATATTTTGTATAATTCAAAAAATGCTATAAATTAAAACATGTGTTTAATTAATTATTTTAAATCTAAAATATGATTTTCAACTTTCCAATCAATTGAGAGCTTGTTTAAAATGAAAAATATATTTTTTAAAAAATAGTTAATAAATAAATTTGTATGTTATATACATTTAGTTATCCTGTAAAACTAACCAGTATTGATTTGTTTTCAAATAGTTTTTAAAGTAATGTTTTGTTTAACAGGAAATCATTAAATATAACAAAAATTTAAAAGAAAATCATGTGCTAAAAAGTATTGATTCTAATACAAGTCCTCGAAAAGAAAAAAAAAATCAAGAATGTGAAAATATAAATTCAATTAACTGTGTCTCAAATACTGGTTCAAATCTAACTAAAAAAAACGAATTTAAAAAACTTTCAGTTAAACATCAAGTAACTTTTTGATTTAGAAATATATGAATAAATATTATCAGTATGCATTTTTTCAGGGAAAATTAAAACCGATTAATGAACAAAATATTGAATACTCTAAGCCAAATTCACCAGTAATCCTAACTCCTGCTCCTTCTAACATAATATACATATATGGAAAATGTATTTCGATCAAATTGTTAGATTTGATATAATATATTACTTAAAGTAATATTGAGCTATATATTAATGTTATTATATTGTTTAAAATATAGTTAAACGTAATTTTTTAAAATAATTATAATAAAATAATAATTTAAAAGTTAAAATTATTTTTATTATAAAACTCTAGCATTTTAATTTAATAGTATTTAAAAATTTAATAATAATTTGTGAATTGCTATAAATACTTTTGTTGGTTATATTTTATTTTAAAAAATATTTTTATTAATATAAATGAAACTATCATATTAATGTCATGTGACCAGATTTTCTGATTGTTATTTTTCTTTTCTGAAAAATTAATTTATATTTAAGAAAATTTTAGAATAGGTTTTATTATTTATTTTAATATTATTAAACTTATTCTTATTCATTTTTTATGATTAGGCTTATTCTTGGGGTATTAGTTAGTTTCACATGTTCAGATGTAAATCTAAGAGTTACCTTGCTCTTTATAAGGACATGAGTCGATGTTACTTATCGTATGACTGTTTTCAAACTTCAGCAACTGTGCTGACTGTGCATTGAAATCAGTTTCACTACCACCGCAACCCAGTGGCGTCATTTAAAGGGGACGCAACTCATAAATTTGCTAAAATCTAGAATTTATCTATTCCAAAGTCAGCACATTTTCAAAATATTAATATGTCATATAAAACCATTGACAATATTGTTCATCATAAAAATAAGACTTGTACTTAGGTACAAAATACAAATAATTATATTTTTGGACAAATTCAAATTGAATTAAAAAATCGCGAATGTGTTGAAAACAAACTAATTGCTAAAATATATTTACCAACAGGACGAGGGCAAACGGACTAAAATCCTCCTATTTCCCGTATTATTATTTTTTTTCCATGGATATGAGTAAAAATTTGGTGTATTTATGTAAATATTAAATACATTACAATAAGGTCGTAATAATTTTATTTCCCATCATAAGTACTAAGTAGCCATAGTCATTAATTTAAATTCTACATGCATAACTGTTGTTAGAGTATGTAAGGTCCTAGGACCTCTTATATAACTAGAACCTTTAAATTCCTAAATCATGTTACACGTATTTTTTTAACACAATTATTATTGTTAATTATTAATGAACTTACTAACTTTATCACTAATAAATTAATAATTTAAAAATAAACTGTCATTATGAATAGTAATAAGTATTAATAGCCATATTATTCTAATTTATCTCAATTATATATAGTCTATTTTTGCATTCAACATACATAATTTATTTAAACCTTATACACCAATACACAGGCGAAAACATCAATTTTTCTTTTCATTCATAGAATTGCATTATTTTTATGAAAGCTAATTTTAATATTTTCTACTTGATATTTATTTTTTGAAAAAAAGAAAAAAAAATGTAAAATTATATCTTGTAAATATAATGTATTTTTTGTAAATTTGGCGTCCTCCAAATCATGAGGTCCTCAGCTTTAAATTGTCACTGTCCACAAGATATTTTTTTTCCTCAACACAAACTTTGATCCAGTATCTTATCAACATTTTCAATGATCATGGATAATCGTTTATAAATAATTTAGAACATGATTGTTATTTCCCATGTTTTCTCACCACAAAAACTTTATATTTCAATTTAGTTGTTCAATGGTTATTTTAGATTTGAGTATAGGAGTTTAATATGCGTATGGATTTGATAAAAAAAAATGTTATTTAAACACCGAATATGAAAGATTTCAGAATGAGTTACTGAAATAATCGTAAAACAAAAAATGCTTTAATTTAAAAATATTAACATTTTTAGTTTAGTAAAATTTAACGTTGGTACATTACTACTAGTGTTCACCTATAATTATAACTTAATATACATTTATTTAAATCTAGATTGTTATAAAAATAAAACATAATATAGTAAATTAAAAATTTTTTTTCTAAAAATTATTGTATACAAATGGTACACCCACAGTCGCAACATAAACTGTTGTTTTTTTCAATGCAATTCTTGTAGTAGACATAAATGTATATAATTCAGTCTTAGATCATATACACTGGATAGAGCAATGGAATAAAAATTGTGAAGTATTACAATTAAATCCACTATGCATGCTTGTTTATTGAATAAAATTGTTACGAGTTTCTCCCCGTACCACACTATTTATAACGTATGGCTCATAACAATCAATTGCTAAGCTTCACGCATTTACTACGCGAGATAAATGCTGTAGTTATATCCAGTGTGAAAATGATCCAAGATTTTCGTATTTTACATTTACATATAGTTCAAATACCAAATTACATAAGTATTTTAACAACAATGAATACTTTAAACAAAGTTTATTGAAGCAAATAAATATAAAACAGAAAAAAAAGTAGGTAACGGATCAGACTACATATACAAAGTAGACTTATAAGTCATTAATAAACATATGATTTTTAAAGTCATTACATAGTTTGTAGATAATGACTGTAACTTGTATAAATAAAAAAAATAATTATAATAATTAAGGAACTGGTATCCCACAGAGGTTTAATTATTTGATTCACTCGATCCTTGGCTAGTGTCTTGATTAGATAGTTGATGAATGAACATCGGCCTTACAATGTCAGGATTCACTAAACGAGCGTACATCTGTGATCGCCCTGTAGTAAAATAATTGTTAAGTTTTCAGTAAAATTTGAGCCAGGGGAAAATAATAATTAATGCAAAACTATTAACCTTTAACATGGTGATGTGACAGTGGTATAACTTTTAGACCTTGAATAGATTTCAAAGAATTAGCAGGAACGAGTATCTGTTGAGAACCTTGCTGCAGTTGGTAAATATTTAATATTTAATATTGAATGCAGTTGGACATTATTCAAATAAAACGTAATTCGAATAATTATTAGATTAAAATATTATATTTTATTAATTTATTTTTCATTTAATTATTCTTGATTTTTTTATTCATCATTTTATTTATTATAGTTATTCATTATTCATTATAATGTATTCATCATTTTACTGTTTTTTTATTTATTATTCTACATAATTATATTCAACCCGAATATTTCGTACGTAATTTTTAGTTTCAACTTATTGAAATCGAAGTGTTCAATATTTATTACATATTTCGTCGTTTCGAAAATCAAGCCTATGTAAACACAGCATCCACTTACCTATATCACAAACACAAACACATCCCTAGTGCAGTCACCAGTGGCGTATTTGAAGGGAGGGGACGATGGGGGTAATTGCTCCCCCCCCCCCCGAGAATTTTTAGACCAAGACAATATTTATATAACTAATGGGTATTATATTAAAAAACAAAAATTATGATTTATTTTATAGTATTACTACATTTGAAAACGTTTCAAATTTTACACTAATTTAAATAACGCAAAACACTAAATTTTTCATAACGTTTTAATTATCAAACGTTTAAATTTGTATAACGTTTAAACGTTTAAATTGAATAACGTTTAAATTATTTATAACGTTTATATGTCCCATAATGATAGATAATATATATTATTTTGATTGAAGACCCAGTCCATACTTAGTGAAAAATTAGTTAAAAAACAAACAAATCTTTCAAATCACAGATAGATGTTAGAAAAGAACTACACAAAAGACCATTCTAAGTGGATCCGGCATTAGATTAAAAAAAAAAAAAACCACAAATATTAAGGATTCACCTGATATAAATATTACCAAAAAATTTACTTGTAAATTTTGAGCCTGAATTAAAGAAAAAATTTGAGTCGCTTCCCTGCTAGAAGTAAGTCTAAATATACCCCTGGCAGCCATTCACTCACCTTATCATGCATACATCCACATAACTATAATGCATCCACCCATGGCACACATATACCCCTAAGCCCACTTATAACACTCATTCCTCCAAACATCCACTCGCTTGCCCATCTCCCGTACTCTCACACACATGACCCTCCTTCTTCTCATGCGCTCAACTTCAGCACTCACCTTCTTCTCACCCGCACAACTACAACATCCATCCACCTCTTACACATTTATATACCTGCATCCTACGTGTCCACTCGACGCAAATATACCCTTAGCGCAGCCATTTATCTAAATGCCTCTCATGCAGTCTTCCATCCATCCTCTAATACATAAACCCATATACACACAACAATCGAACACCTACATACCCCTAACACACTCATACACGTACCCATATCCCCCCTTATGCGTTCACATATATGCAAACACTCCCAACCACATACACACCTATATATCCCTAGCACATCCATTCCCTTGCTCGACACCATTCCTCTAGGATAAGCTCAACACTCCCTAATACCTCATCCATACTCTCTTCTCCTCTCTTTAATTAAGGTTGCACCTTTCCTAAGCCATTGTGCATTAGTAAATATTTGTATAGGAACACCGCTACTTTTAAAATATATTTTTCATAATATTTATTAACTAAAAACAGGATGAGATTTTGTGAAAAAAAAGTGTAAAAATATATCTTAACATGGACGAAAGTGCACAAATTATCACATAAATAAGAAAAAAATAGAAAAATAACATCTATGAATAACGTTATCATCAATTATTAAACATGATTTTTGCAATTTTTACTTTAGCCGTGGGTGATGAAAAAGGTCGGAGAACTTGTTTCAGTAAATTTAAAACGTTTGCAACTACAAAACTGCAATATTTTACCGCAACAACTATTGGTGAGTACCAGGATACGAACTATATTGTACTGTTTATAACAAGTATACGATTGTACGGTGTAATAGCCAATATTCGCTAGTCGTGACTCATGAATTTAACTCGTTGAATCTTGGGTGTGTAATGTTTTCATTTTAAATTTTACAGACATTTCGTTAGAAGCATTTGTGTGCAGTTAGTGACGACATTTCTGAGAGGGAGGGGCAAACATTTTGCTCATCAATATAAGACTGAAAAAACCATTTGCTGATAATTATAATACATTATATAAACAAAATTTTGTTGCATTAATGTATAAAATTGAAAAACCGACGTAATAAAATAATTGAAAATATGAAACGTCAAACA